CAAGTGATATGCTAAGGGGATAGCCTTCATTGCGTTGAGGGATGATCTCTCGAGTAGCATATTGTATGTAGAAGGGGCGTCAACCACCAGGAATTTCACAGTGGTGGTAGCTTCACAAAGAGGGTCCCTCATAGTGAGCACGAGTTGGATGGATCCTAGGGGTAGCACCCTTTCCCCTGAGAATCCCATTAAGTGAACACTTACTGGCTCAAGCTTCTCCCTTCCTATGCCCATTTTGTCAAAGGCAGAGGCAAAAATGATGTCGACCGAGCCCCTATTGTCAATTAGAACTCGATGAACCGTTTGGTTAGCCACAATGACCCTTACCACCAACGGGTCATCATGGGGATGCTGGCAGCCTTCCAAGTCTGAATCCAAAAAAGTGATGGTTGTACTCAGCCGAGGTATTTTGGACACAGTGTGCACTTCCAGCGCTTCGCCAGCTCTGATCCTGCGCAAGTGTGCTTTACTGGCTGCACTGGATTCTCCACCGCCAGCAAATCCTCCAGATATCACTCTGATCTCCCCTAAGGGTTGCTGGTGCTGTGCAGGGGCTTGTTGTTGAGGTGCTGGTGGTGGTGGAGCCCTGTTCTGGTTGTCATGGGAGACAAATCGTCGTAACTGTCCCCTCTGGATCAAGAACTCGATCTCCTTTAGCTGAATTCAATCGTCGGTGTGATAGTCATGATCCCTATGATACTCACAATACTTCGTAGGGTTTCTCTTAGCTGGATCTGCCTTCATTCGTGGAGGTCACCTTAGAAATTTCTCGTTCTGCACCTCGTATAAGATCTAGGACACTGTTACAGTAAGAGGGGTATGTTGCTGAGGTGCATACCTCGGCTGTAGTTCAGGCTGCGGGGGTTCTAAGCGGTCCTTAACGTTCCCCCTTCTTTTTGGGGATCGCTCTTTATCTCTTCTAGGAGATCTCTCTCTTTGGAGATCTGTTTTTTTCTCTCTCTCTCCTAGGACTTCGGTTCCTCTTTTTCTCTTCATTTCCCTTATCTCTATGTGCGGAAGAGCTCCCTACCTTAGAAAAAAGAGCTTCTTTGCTGTTTATATATTTCTCTACTTTGGCAAGCACCTCGGCCATGCTTGCTTGGGGATTTTTTGATATGGAGAACATTAAATCTTTAGATTGCATCCCTAGACCAGCTATGAAGGTAGTAATGGCGAACTTTTTGTTTGGGACATCCACCTTTAGCGACTCCGAATTAAATCTTTGGACATAAGACCTGAGATTTTCTTGAGGTCCATGTGTTCACATTCAAAAGGTGATAGCTCGGCTTTCTATAGGTTCGAGCCCCAATGAAGTAAGATATGAAGGAAATGGAAAGTTCTTTGAAGGAAGAGATTGAGGTCAAGGGGAGCCTATTAAACTATGCCAAGGCTGAACCATTCAAAGTGATGGCAAAGGCTTGACAGTGTATGGGGTCCTGGAACCTGTGCAACTCCATTTGATTCTTATAAGTGTTGAGGTGGTCCAGGGGGTCCCTGGTTCCATTAAAGGACTCTATCTGTGGCATCCTGAACTTTGGCGGGAGGGAAAAATGCAACACCCCAGGTGTGAATGGAGATTCAGTCTACTGCACTAAGGCGTCCATTATAACTGGAGCTTTACTTCTGACCGCTTCCTTCATGTGGCTGAGCTCCTGTTGGATGCCCTTGAAGCATTGCTCCCAATATTGTTCCCTTCTCTCTTGCTGTTAAGAGAAGACATCACTCTTTTCACCTCCACGGTTTTGATTTTGTACTTCTTCATTATGGCCATTCCTAGGGGGTAGTTGGGGAACCTGCCCCAAGGTCTGACTGTTCTCCCCTCCTTCGTTGTCTTCTCTGAGTGGATCAAGGTGTTGTTGATCCCTATGACGGGGACTGTTCTGACCTTCTTGGGCCGGACGTGCCTCCTGTGGGCACTGTAAGAGCTTCAAGAGCTCTTCGTTTTGCTTTAACAAGCGTTGATTGACGAGGTGAAGGGCCTTTATCTCGTTATTCGTGGGGGATTTCCCATGGGAGGATCAGTCTCTGGAACGTTCTTGGGCTGTCTGCCATTGGTGGCTCCTTGTTGATCCTGCATCCGAGATGGGTTTGTTTGGCTTATGCTCATGTTTCGTGTTGATACCATCAATCACTGAGAGATCAGCTTATTTGTAATAGGAACAGTCGTTTCCACAGACGGCGCCAAACTGATGGTGCAGACTAACGTGAGTGAACGGAGTGTGTGGGACCAAAAGTGAATCTTGGCTGCCAACTTCATAATGACAGTGATATAGTGTTTCTTAAGGGGTTGGAGAATTTGAACAGTAGGAATATAGTGATTCACCAGTTCTGGAATTCGGCAAATCCACTCTCTAATGGAGGCACTTGCTCTTTTTTTTTCTCTATTGATTACTCGAATATAATACAATATAATGCATGATTTAATTATGGTTTTTCTAGGGTCCTCTCATCTTGATGAGGCGTTACATAGTATTTATAAGGCTGTTCCCTATTCTGTGGAATTTCAGCCGAGATCTTTGCCAATTATTCATGGGATCCTCTTTGATTTTAGGATAGAATTTTGGTTGGTTGAGAGTTTTATGCATTGAGCTCAATTTTCACAGTCACCCAGCTGTTTCCTAGTCGGTTCTACTACGATCTCCCCAAGGGGAGCTCTACCCTTGGTTCTCTGAGTTCTCTGTATCTTTCCTAAGCTCTTGACCTGACCTCCTTTCCTGAGCTCACAACTAGGGCTTATTTGAGGTATCATCAGAACCAAATATGACAAAGTAAATCAGAGCCTCAAATAATATCTCATTATTTTAGACTAATACTATTTAGATTTAAAAATCTAATTTAATTTTATTGACATAATGAAGTAACTTTATAGAAATTATTGGATCAACAACAAGTTCCAATATTTGATGGAGTCTTTAGTGAATTCAAAGGTCACAATGAATTATGTTAACAAATTATGTCAGTAAATTAGATTCCAGTAGCATTTCTTATTACTCCCTCCGTTCCTAAATATCTGTCGTTTAAGGTTTTTGCACAGAGATTAAGGAAATTATTAAATAGCTCTAATTCGAGTAAAAAATAATTACACAAGACTAAAATACCCTTATTCAATACGTATTGGGAATGAAAGGAATATGAAAGGCACTTAGCTTACACTTAATCTATTAAGCACTTATTAGAAAATAGAGATAAGGGTAAATTTGGGAAAAAAAATATTTATTATGGTTTGGTTTCATAAAACGACAGATATTATGAAACAAAAAAAATTGTGTAAAATAATAGATATTTAGGAACGGAGAGAGTATTTTATAATGAATATTCCAAATGAGAGCTCTGCTGATCCATTTCCCGGGTATAATTGAATGCATTTCCTTGGGTAAAAATTGATATGGGTTAACCAAATAATTCCCAAACTTGTTATCAATGCTAGTGGTGTCCATTTTTGACACGATATATAAACGTGACACAAATTAAACACAAAATTAATGAAGCAAACACGACATTAAATGGATCAATGGATAAAAATGGGTCAACACTGTTTAAACACGAAAAAAATATGTTGAGTTTATGTCAAAATCAGGTTAAACTGATTTTGACCTGATTAACCCGTATATTTTAAATGAGTTGACATGATTTGGACACCAATTCAACCTAACTCATTGTAAACTCATTTAATCCGTTTATGATATTATAATTTACATATTATATATGACTGATGTGATCTTAACATTATTACTTATTAGTTATTACTTCTACTATGATAATTGATAGTATAGTTATTGATTTAATTTTTGGGTTAAAATTTGAATGTATTTTAGTTAATTTCATTGATGAAATGTGATATGTTATTGGTTAAAAAATTATTTAAAATTTTAGATGAATGATTGAACGGTGTATTAATAGTAATGAACATGTGTAGAAACAATCCGACAGACACCACTTATCAATACCCAATAGTCCAGTCAAAATTTCGGTGCAACGAACTACTGTTTGAGACAAATCGTCGGAATTGTTGGAGTCCACTCATGGTGTTGCTGCTGTAGACGACTTCGTCCATGGACTCTGCGCCGAGGAATGATACTCAGAGAAGGGATCATCAAATTCTAAGCAAACTAAAATCATAGGGGAAGTTAGACACCAAAAGAATTGGAATCCTCATACTCCGTAGGCCATTTTGTCGACAAGATTTGGTGATGTTTAGCCGGTGGAAGACTGGTAAAACAAGGTGCACTCTCTCTCTCTCTCTCTCTCTCTCAGACGAGGCAGTAACCGACGAGAACTGTGATGGAGGAGACGGATAGAAAATCCTCCTTTTATACCTGGGCTTTTTAAGTATACATCAACTAGTACTCCGTGTTTTCAAAGTTTAGTGAAATCTTAGGCCAAAAACAAGAGAACACGTATAAGTAATTTCCTAAACGAAACCCTATTTTTAAAAAGTTTCCTGGAAATAGTTTTTGGAAAATGGCAAAACAAACATTTTTGCCCTTTTTCTTGTATTGCAGAACAAGAAAACAGTGTTTGAACCACAAATTAAACAGACCCTCAATATTTTTTTTTGAACATGAGGTAATTCAATGTTGAATTCAACACATTCAATCTTGAATTAAGTATACACATCCATCCTCCACCATACAAATTATACTAAACAATTACAATGTAATTAAATTTCATACAATAGGAAAAAATCCTTTCCAATCAACTTAGAAAATCATCCCTGTATCTTGTCTGTTTGTACTAGTTCCGGATAACCTGAAATCAAAGAAGAAACAACCATACAAGCACGTAAGTTCTTTTAAAAATATGTTACTGTAGTTATATATGCTATCACTTCTTTGTTCCACTTCTTGATCTTCTGGGATCTGCTTTTGTTATAAAAATGCCTAATCCATAAAGAAATATGCTTCTTTTTCTTTGCTAATGGAGTCAAATTCTGCAGTCAGCTGGGAGATATTTAACTTGTCGTTTAGAAGAAAACAAAAACTTTTCCCTCTTCCACTATTCTAGAGTTCCCATTTTGAGCATCCTGTTAAACATGGAGAATAATAAGGTTAGGACCCAAAAAAAATAGAGGACCAAACTGGTTTCCCAATATCGTAACCAAAACTTCTGGCACTTATCATTTGGTCCCCGATTGCATATAGCTTCGGAGTTGAAATCAAATCCCCTTTGCAGTTGGCCTATGATCAATCAACGTATAACCCAATTTATTCAAATAGATCCACCATCAATATGGGAAAGTAAGAAAAAATGTATTGAAATAAATCTAAATCAGTGCACGTGCTAAGGTCAATTGGAAATTTACTTCCATCAAGTGATTATTACAAGCAAACTGAAATCCTTTCTAACCTGCTAAGAAATATATAATAGTCAACAGAACAATAGCATTGCTGCCAAGCAGATATTACAATCAGGAAACAACTACAATGAACAACAATTATCAAACCCCACCTAAGAAAAAAACCACGAAAAAGAGATTGAAGAAAATACCAATGTCTAGGCATCCAAAAAAAAAAAAAAATGTTAGCAACCTCTTATTCTGTCAAAATCACTCGTGTCGTTGTCTTTCTAGGTGAAGTCTTCAGGGATGGACTTGCACAAGCAAAAATAATGGAGCAGTAAAAATGCAGAGCTCACACAAAGTTGCTCTCCTCTGTTTACTATGTCCTAGAAGGAGGAATAAGAAGCGCGGTAGTGTTCAGGGAAGAACAAACATTCCACCTGCCTGCTACACCCTCCCTTCAGTACACTTACTAGCATTGCATATCATATGCACTCAACATCCTATAGGGTAGGTTTAGCAGAATAACTTACTGGGCAAACAAAAGCCTACTATTGCAGAATCCACTCGGAAAGCCCTAGTGACCGGAAAATAGCCATAAAAATCATTATCCATTTTGATCTCCATACAAGAGGCATTATCCTTTAGCACAAAGAAAACTGTGACATCAAACACATTATGATTGCACATTGCCCATGAATGCTACATATACAAATCAGAACTTTAGCACGAAGAAAAATGATCTATAGGCAACAACTTGTTTTAAGATGAGGAATATTCTACTTCATGCAAACTCAATGGAACACGAGAATAATATTTCCAGCATCGACAAAATTGCATTGTATTCCCATCAAAACAAGTTAAAAAGGTTTGAACATAAAAATTGCAAAAGAGAAAGATAAGAAGAGCTGATAATGATATTGAAAGTCCCAAAGAGATTATCGATAAAACAAACATGAAGTATTAATGAATTAGGAAAACAAGGAACTAATTCAAAGATAATAAAATATCATATTCCATTATCGCTGTAAAGGAGATGGAAAGCACCATTTGGTCACTGTCGCTTGCAATTCATGGCCATCAACGCCTCAAGTGCACGACAAAAACATAAGAAAATAATCAAATGCTGAAAAGTGGAAAATAATGATTGATGAATTAAAATAGAGGATAACCTGAACACGTCGAATCAATGCCATTCCATAATGTGACCAACGATTGTGGTGTTGATAAGTTGACAGTGGCCAACGATTGTGTGCTACTAGGGACAGAGTACCAAGCCGAAGTGAGGGAAGCAGAGAGAGAAGAGGAACAATGGATGCCGAATTTGGAGAGAAGAGAGATGTGAGCAGAGCCCTAATGGAGAAATGATGAAGCCGGGGCTGATTTGGAGGGAAATGAAATGAAAATAGGCTGAAAAAATTGGATGGAAATGAACACAAAACAGCGCCTTTGTGTCAAAAATACGGAAGACATGGGGAATTTACTTGGGTTTGGCATAAACGCCGGCATAGTAAACAACAATACTCATCTGGTGCGGATAATTTTATCCGCGCTTACTCAAAAGCCTATTAATAAATGCCGGGATAGACCTATTTTCTTGTAGTGTCCGAATCTATATACTCCCAAGCAACTCAAAACTACATTTTTTATGTGCAATTCAAACAACTTGCCCTCTCACTCCCAATGCCCTCTTGACACTACTTGGTATCCTATTAGGCTTAAACTGTTTCAACACTAAAATGTTGCTTTGTTGGACAAGTCTTTACAATACACAGAATACAATTCACAGAAAACCTCATTCAATTTCCAACATTAGAAACTTGGGAAAAGTATGTACAGATTGCTTTCTCATCATATGTACACATAAAACTAAATTACTAAAATTTTATGCTAGTGCACAAACCCTAACATACTAATTTAATAAAACTAAAAGTTCAGACCAATCTCTGAGCTTGTTAGTGCTTTCCCACTCTCCATATTTCCTTACAAGGCTTCCAAAGCAGCCCCTAGGGCAAAAATGTCATAATCCACACAGTTGCACCAACTGTCCGTGCACCCACACTCATCCCACTTCGTCAACCTACAGTTCTTCTTCCTTCTTACAGTCTCTGCAACTGCTAACAGTTGTACTTTCATGGCTATCTTCACAGCAGGTGGCTTGAAACCTTCATGGCCACTCCTACTCTTCGAAATCATCGTAACCCATTTCTCGATTTCCATTTCTGGAGCTTCGGAAACGCTTTTCCATGGAATCTCAGCTTTACCCAAGAGCTGTGACCGTCCAATTCTTCCAAAAAGTGGTGCTGTGTTTCTTCGGCGAAGCTCGAAGACAACCTTTCCTTGCATGAGCATGTTCACGGAGTCTTCGGTTCCAAAACAATCTAACGAGAATAACTCATCCCAGAACAGGTCGGAGTTGGATGATATTTCTCTGCTGTTTATCTGAACTCTACTTTTCTTTCCCGCAGATAGATAACACCTGACAAACAAGTGGCATGTGGACTTCAACTCTATATTTTTAGCTCTTAAAATTCTCAATTCACAGTTAAGAGAAGAGAAATTCTGATGAGCACCCATGGGGGGAGAGAGAGAGGAGATTTTATGAATTGTTTGGTGGAGGGAGCTTCTGGGGTTATGTGGGATATATATAGTTGCACTCTGCAATATGGAAAATGGAAGGAAGGTGGTGCAACTTTATGAAGAAGCTGCTTTTATTCATAAAATAGTGAAAGAAAAACACCGGCCCAACAAGATCCGAGTTTTATATGTTCACACATTGTTATCACATGAGATTATGTGAAAGATTGTATTGAGTTATATAGCAGCCCTTCAGATAATTGAAAGGTTAAATCTCTAAAACGACCCCTACAATGGGGTTGAGTTGGGTGTTCAACAAACAGAAAATAAAAGGAAAAAAAATTTTGAGTTACAATAATTTAGTTTGGCATTCCTTTTGGTGCTTAGTTGGTGTTGATCAAGACGATGCAGTGGATAGTTATTAATTAACTATAAGTGCGTTCAGTAGTGGTCAAACAAAAGTGAGGTATGAACCAACAAAGGGTGGGTTCGAGTTCTAATAGTCTAAAATCGGGTTTAATTAATTAATGCATAAATTTGTAAATTTGAGATTTACATTTTAAGCAAAGGTGCAAACATACTGTAGTTGGGATGGTTCTTTCTCAAGAATAAAAACAGAGCTTCTTTGGGTGGACAAGTGGAATAATGTAGAACAGTAATGTTATACGGATCAAAATTAGAGACCAAACAAATTGACCAAATGAAAATGATAACTGACATGAGGGGTTTGATTGTACAAAAAATAATACTACACAACTCAAGTGAAATTCAAAAAGTTATAACCCAAACATTATTTGGATGAGTGAGTCTCATCAATTTTTCTATGAAAGTCACTTATCTAATGGATAATATATATTTAAGTTATAATTTTTAAATTTTATTTGAATTGTATAACATTTCCCTTATGCAAATACTCAATGGTTGAAAACCTACAAAAATTTTGGGCCAAAATCAAAGCCTAAAATGAAGGAAAGAAGTGGGTTGAGACCAAATTCCAAAATTGAGAGACATGGTGGGATTCCCTGATTTGCTAACAGGCGGAACCAAACCAAAAAATCCGTTTTCCTCATCTCTATATTTTTTGATATTTTTGACTTCCACTAGTGGCCACTGGCCAGAGAAGGAGGGTTGTTTCGCATCGTGTCCATCTGAGTCCGGTCAAAGATTGAATAAACCATAACACTTTAAGTTTCAATTTATGTATTTGATTACATGTGAAAGTGTAAAAATTAGGAAGAAATTTTATGTGCATACTATAAAAATTCAAATATACTATGTAACCACACTGTTTGAGTAACACTACTAGTGACTACATTATACTCTTCTTCAACAGTAGAAAGGACAAAAACTTGTTGTTTCTCAAGAAAAATTTTTTGAACTGGTTTGAAAATAATACCTTAAAGTACTCATTGCTTTTTCTACACCACCTCGCCAATTATTGTCTGTATAGCCTACAAGATTACAAGAACAAGTAAGAGAGTTAAAAATACCATCATCCTAGGTACATTTGGTATACCTCAAAATTTTTTTTGCTGCTCGCAAGTGGGATTGACACGAATACTCCATATATTTGCTGATAAGGCTAACTCCAAATCCAAAAATAATAGCAGGTTTAGTGGAAGTCAAATAACATAAATTTTCTACCAACCATTTAAAATATGTGGAATTCATTAACTCAGAATTCTCATCTTTTCTCAATTGCAATCTCTGTTCAACCGGAGTCAAAATAAAATTACAAGAATTCATTCTGCACCTTTTTAGGATATCCCTAGTAAAATTTTATTGGGAAATAAAAAATCCCACTATTTGCCTGATTAACCCCCAATCCCAAGAAAAAAAGACATCAAATCCATAACAGTCATTTCAAACTCAGAAATCATTGGCTCTTTAAATTTCTTAATCAACTTCAGGTTATTCCCTATGAAAAAAAAGATCATTCAAATATAAACACACAATAATAAAATCTCATTGGGAATTAATATTGACTTACAAAGTGTGTTTAGATGGATATCTCTGAAAATCATTCTCCACAAAATAAGAATTAATCCGGGTGTACCAAGCTTTGAGGGCTTGTTTAAGCCCATACAAAGACTTTTTCAACTTATAGACTTTGTTCTCTTGCCCTTTATTCACATAACCTGCAGGTTGCTCAACATAAACTTCTTCTTCAAGGACACTATTTAAGAAAGCAGATTTCAAATCCATTTGAAATACCTTCCAAGAATTATTGACAGTAAAAGAAATAATCATACGAACAGTATCAAGCCTAGCAACAGGAGAAACAACATCAAGATAAATCAATACCTAATTTTTTTTTGTAAACCTTGACTACTAACCTCGCTTTGAAGCGATCTACCTCCCTGTTTGGCTTGTACTCCATTTTAACTCCAATGGACTTCTTTCCCTTAGGAAGAGATATAAAATCCCATATATTATTTTTCTCAATGAATAAATTTATTCATCCATTGCTTTTACTCAATGTTTCTCCCTACAGGCATCACTAAAAAAAACATGATCACAATCTCCATATGAAGCAAAATTTACCAAGTCCTCGTCTAAAGGATCAGTGTCAATCACATAATCCTCCAATCTAGTTGACAAGTGTCGTTCACACTATGAACGCTTAGATGACTCTAGCTACGAAGATTGAACTGCTGGGGACTGTGCAACTAGCTGATTACCAACATCAAAAGGAACAAGTGTGTCTGACTTGTCTTCTTTTGAGGACAATTCCCAAACACCTAGTTCATTAAAAATGACATCTATGCTAATAATCACTTTTTTTCTATGATAGAATATAAAACTTGTACTATTTTGTAATTGAACTATATCCAATAAAAAATACACATTTCAGCTTTGTTTTCAAACCTCTTCTTGAGTGGATCTCTAGGCCAAATTATTTGGTTAACCAAATTCATACCAAGATTTTTTAAAATTAATAACCATTAAACTTTTTTAAGAAAAATAAGGATAAAATGGAAAGTTAGTAATAGATTATTGCATTTCCTTATATTTTTTACAAGAAAAAAAGTTGGTTAATTGTGAGAAAATTTAAGCATGAAAAAAATTTATTTTTTCTATAATTTTTCATTTCATGCTACTCAAACACATAAAAATTTTAAAATTTTTTCTTTCTTGCATTTTCTACCATTATCCCACTATTCAAACGGACCCCATATTTTGTTGAATATAACAATTGATCAAGACATCCCATGCCGCTTTTGCCATCGAAACATGAGCGATTTTGTTATAAATTGATAAATTAGTTTCCTCATAGTTGTACATCAACGGTCTGCTGTATTTATTTCGATTACTTCTCAATTCATTTATTTGATTTTTGTGTAAGTTTCTTGATCTCTAAGATTTGTGAATCCATTTGTCACAATATCTAAAAACTCTATGACCTTGTAGAACAAATCTATATGTGTTCTTCAATGTTAAAAATTTGACCTCTCATCAAATTTTTCAACCGAACATTGAACGAACTGGTTCTTATTTGTCATCTCTGAAATATGGCTCTAATACGAGATATAAGATCTTAAAAATAATCAAGCACTCAAAATAATCTCACACTTAGAATTAATAAAAAAAATCCAATAAAATACACAAGAAAGATGATAAACAACGAACACGTCGCTGAAATTCTCGAAAGACAAAAGGCTAACTCACCGAAGTCATTCGCTACTGCCACCGCTAGCATAGCATAAAGGCTAACAATTTTCCTTCTAATAAAACACTTCTAACACAAATAACCTTTTCTAATCCTAGACGGCTAGGATATCTAAACCAACTAAAATTTTAAGGGTTAATTGCAAATTACACACCAATAGATCGTTCGAATCTTAATTTACACTCTCAAAAATAGAAATTTATATCAATTTGTACCTCAAGTTAACAGCCGTAGTTTGCCGTTTAAAACTAAATAGATAAATTATACTAAAACCCCCTGATGATTGTCACTTAATCACTTAGACCTCTCACATTTAAAATATTACACATACATCCCTTGAGAATCCAAATATGATTAAGAATGTTTCCCCAATTGGGCATTCAAATAATTCTGTTTAAATGATGTATTGCATTGGATATAAAGAATATCATATATATATCTGTATTATATTGGGCATTAAAGTGGGAAGTTTGATTGTAAATTTTAAAGTATAATAGACCCACAAAATAAAAGATAATATGAAATTATAATTTTTTATTGGGATTAAATCATATTTTTTAACAGTTATATTAACAGATATTAACGACAAGGAGTTATGTGTTACACGTGCACAGATGTCAGGGGTATAAGAGTAATATTTTAAATGTGAGGGAGTCCAAATGATTAATAGATAAGTATAAGAGGATTTAGGTGTAATTTATTTTAGACGGCAAACTGATAACTATTAGTTTCAGGTGCGCATTGATACAAATTTCTATTTTTGAGGGTGTAAATTAAGATTTTTCTATCTTTGAGGGTACAAATTGAAATTCGAACGATCTTTCAGGGTGTAATTTATAATTAATCTAAATTTTAATTGTAAAGATAATTATTTTAGTAAGGGTTTGTGTCAAACTTCAACAATTGGCATTATTTTTTAGTAGCTATTTGTTTTTTCTTTGAATGGAACCTGTACAATAGTTCAAAGCAAACAATTTTGGCACATAACATTGCCAAATACAGAGTTGACATGAGAATTATGGACAAATCATTGAAAATACTCTTGGAAAGTAGTATTATATTAATCTAGGATAAACTCTTAACATATACAACAAACTAAAACTATCGCCATGGGTTTCTTCTTCCGTTACATGATCAACTTACTCTGTTTTTCGTTTGGTGCATTACTACCCTACCACCCAAGAAAACAATCCTTATCTATTGATGGCTTGACAAACTCTTCAAATTTCACTGTTGTCGCCGTTACGCCAATGTTATTTGAGTATACCAAGATTAATACCAGTAGTAAATAGGAGGATATTTTCATAACTGACTTGTGGAAAGAGCCAATGGATAAGGTTTGTTTCCTA